GGATTGTTTTACTTGGCCTCTGTCAGAGAAAACTTCCCCCGGGGCTGTGCTAGTATGGCTAGCCTTTACAGTCAGTCTGCCCTTGTGATGACCATACCAGTATATGTGTTCTTCCATCTTTGGACTTGGATGGGTGTTAAACTCTTTAAGTGTAATCAATGCAACCACAGCGGGGATAGTAAATATATTAATGATCGATCTTAGGTATCTATCTCTGAAAGCTCAACTAGATGCAAATATTTGGAGACCCATTTAGTTTGCAGGAAAGTTGTTTTKCCTTGCTTCTCTTGGGCTTGACTGGGAGGTTTAAGCTGTGAAAGCTTCTTTGATTTACAATTTACTTTTGTTAGCCTTTTGTTTTTTGGAGATTCTGACTTATAACTGTGGTACCAGAATAAACATTTCAGCAACATGTCTTGATGGAGATTAACACCCCTAATTATCTGAAGACTGTTTCTTAGCTCATTTATATAAAAATTTAGTCATTTGAAATTTTGTTTGTTAAACTCAAAGGTCAGTAGTGAAAGCTCCATTAGGGATGACTCAATCCCAAAGGAGCTTTGGAACAGTAGTTGTAGAGAACCACATTTGAACTATTATGATATAAAACTGCATAATAAAATGGAAATTTCATTACTTAAAAWATTTTGAGTTCATAAAATTATCTTAACATCTTTGGCATTAATAATAAAATAAGAAGTCGACAGATTCCCATTAAAAAAAAAAAGAGGGGTTTTGGTCTGGTTTTYTGTTTGTTTTGATTTTGGTAACAAAAGTATGGTAGAAAAGGAGGGAAATTGAAAATGTTTTAAATTTAAAAATGTATGCTATACTTATAGAGTCACCTAAAATCTGAAATAGAGTCATTTTCCCAGGAAATTGGGTACCTTTGAAAGGTAAGTCTGGGGATGAGAAAACTTGAATATAGCTGATTGTGTCCTAATGAGCTCAGAGTATTTAGGGGCAATCCCAGGTTGCCACTTAGCTCTGACAAAAGTGCAGCTAATCAAACCCACCAGGGGCTGCAAATATTGACAAGGCTATAGTATAGTGTGAGTGGCTGACTATCAAAGAAACCATGTGGTCACCATGGACCCTGTCTTGCAAAGAGAGAGTGGTTCAAAGATCCTCTGGATGATGGACACTATGGTCACCATCCAAAATCTGATTTTTCTCATCAATATAGATGTAACTCAAGAAAACAAAAGTTATCAATATGAGTGTCTCTGGGTTGGATCAGAAATAAAACTAGACTCCTTTAGAGTGTGAAACTAGAATTAGAACACAGCATTTTCTGCTCTATAATGGGATCCAAGAGCATTGTGGGAAAACTGAGAGGTGGCAAGCTGAGAGGTGGCAGGTGAGAGAATGTGCTTGCAAAGAGACACAAAGTATGAGGTTCCTGAAATAAAAGCCACCACTAATAAGAAAGATTTGGCCAGACACCAGGATAGGACTTGACAAATATTCTTTGTGGATAGAAGAAAGCAGTAGTTTCACGCTGAGCCAGATTTCTAGGAGGCATGTGAATATTCTAGAATGGAGAAAACTGTGTATTACTACTAAAACAGCTTTATTATCAGAGCATGAGCGATTTGCTATGGAATATTGCTCCAAAAAAATTACAGTGGGAGAAACAGACCTTTCTCTACCTACCAAATAGGRTTAGTTGGCATTTTAGATTTCACAATATGCAAGAAGATGCCCCGAAAATCAAAAGCAAGAACAATCAGTGCTACCATTAGGGTGGCCAAAGAAGCGGATTGGGGACATGGGTCTGCTGGTAATGGAGTCAGGCAGAGTTGATGCAAGAAATCAAGTCCCAGGAATCTAGAAGGAAGGAAGGATGATACCAATGGCAGTAGGACGGACAACTGCCCAACAGGCATTGGAAGTTAAGAGCTGCCCTGAGAGTGKTTGCAACAGCATGTTAAGAGTTCAAGGGTCTAAACAATCCCTAGAGCCATGCACAAGGTAAACAGCAGTTAAGAAAGCAGAATGTGTTTGAACAGGGGCAGAGCAGAGGCCTGCTGAAGGCAGCACATGCTACAAAAGGTAAGTGAAGGGCTGAGTTCTAGTAGGATGGAAAATAATGACCACTTCCAGAGGTACCTCTGTCACTCCTCCATAGGGTTCTACCTCTGCAGCCCCTGAACCTGCCCTAACCCTGCCTGGATATGTGAAGCAGCTCTTTCCCAATGTCTGGGCAGTGCTGTTGAGATGAAGAGAAAAGAGAAGTGGATGCAGTAGGTCCTGGCTCTTGAATAGGCAGATGCAAGTTGCTTTTGCAATCCTTGTAGCTCATTGTGCAACACATGCATTTCTGGACCTCAAATTCCTGGACATATATAAAATATAGACACCGGTGATACTACTTAACTCCCAGGGCTGCAGGGAAGGTATGGATGGGGTCGCAGACTGAGAGTGCTTTGTAAGATAGACATGCACAGTGCTATGACTATCCACATCAGGTCTCCAGAGTGCAGGCAGGGGTGAGAGTGAGTGAGTGAGTCAACAAGGAAGAAAACTCTTCCACTTCTCAAAGGGMGTTCTCAGAAAACCAGGGCTGTGCTGCTCAGGTGACAGAGAAGGCATAAAGAGTGAGTGCCTGCCAAACCAAGCTCATTTGCCTGGAGCTCCTGGGACCTTAGAGGAAGAAATCTGTGAGTGTCTCTGCTCCTGCCTCTTATTTTATTTCCCCCATATCCTGTGAATATCCCCCCTGCCTATCTGAGCAGTTTACTGGTGTTGGGGAAGGGGAATTCTGGTTTCCAATTCTTGGTTCTGGTCTAGGAGTTGTGAGTATGGGAGGTGAGGGCACAGTGAGGTAAGAAGGTTCTCTTTGCCCCTCATTCAGCTTGCTGGACTCAGTGGGAGATTTGCTTTCTGAGCTGTGGTAGAGAAGATGAGTGAACTATGATACCCCCTGAGACTTCAGGTGCCAGGTACAGAAGCTTCAGGAGGGAAATCCAATTCTAGCTTTGRTCTGGGTTCCTTCTCTCTCCCTGATTTGTTCAAAAATAAAAACGGTGGAGGAGAAACAGACTAGGCATTCTGAGGCCTGGGTTTTAAACCCAACTTGGTACCATTTCCCTATGGATTTTGGCCAAACCTGCTTCTCTCACAGCCTCAAGTCTTTAAAGAATACACTTACTGGATTCAGTTTCTGATTTTCCAACCAATGTTCTGAAGAGTCACTTTTTCAATAAACTCTTACGCTGAAAGCATGGCATAAACTGAGCACTGCAGGGGTTCTAGGGACTGTGGCTCTGCCYGTTCCATCTGCTGCGAGTGAGTCTACATTGCCTCCTGAATCTCTTGTCTGAAAATCTGTGTGTCTGCCCTCTGCAAGACCCCTAAATGCTGGTGGTGCCTTCTGGGGTATCTTGAGCTTTGTGGGCAGACTGCCTGTTGTCTTTTATAATCTCCCAGAATCAGCYATAGGGCCCTGGATTGAGTGCCAGAGGACAATACCCTGTTCTCAGGACTGAACTTTGGCAAAACAGGGGCAAAGAAGCACTGGCCTGCGGGCTCACCCAGGTGTTTCTAGAGAATTACAGGGTACTTGAGGAAGTTATGATTTCAAAAGTGAAAGGGGTCAATGGAAAATRAGAGTCACAGCCCAGAAACACTAGCAGTTGTTGAAAGAGGCACCTCTCTGGCCAGGAATACCCTGTCCTGCCACCACTCCAGTCTTCCTAGAGAGCCCATCATCTTTGCACAGTGTACTCTGGCTTTGTTCCCAGCTTCTGTGACTCCCACTGGTTCTTTCCATTCTCATAGCAGTTTCTTTCTTTGAGAGGAAAGATACTGATTTGGTTTGGATCTTAAATGTCCCCCAAAGGCCCTTGAGTTGAAGCCTGCTGTGCTATCAGGAGGTGGCAGCTCCTTTGGGAGGTGGCGCCTGGTGGAAGGAAGTTAGGTCTTTGGGATCGTGCCCTTGAAGGGGATTTTGTGACCCTGGCCCCTCCACTCTCATCTTCCTGGCTCGAATGAAATGGACAGGACTTCTCTGCCATTTGATCCCATCATTATGTATTATTGTGTCACCYCAGACCCAGGGCAATAGGGCCAGATGACCATGGAATGAAATCTCTTAACCATGAGGAAAAATAAACCGTTCTTTCATTTAAGTGTTTTATCTGAGATGCTTGTCATAGTGATGGAAAATTAACACAGATGCCCAATGTAGGGAGTAACCAAGGTCCTGCACACCCATCCTGCCCCCGATCTCAATTCCGAAGCCCCTCTCAGATGGATTCTCTATTGGATAGTTTCTCTTGCTATTCCCTAAAACTAGCCTTTCACCTGATTGAGCCCATTTGGGATGTACTCTTCCTCCAACCACACTTCCTGGACAGACATCTAGATGTCTTTGGGTCACTCCAGCTGCTAATTTAGTGTCTTTGAAATCTTTTACCTGAGTTTCCTCTGGTACTCTCTTCATGGAGTCAGTGCCTGGTCCAGGAATGACAAATCACCCAATTAACATGCAGCCCATTCCCTGCCCAAGCTCAGGACAGACATGACAAAGCCTTCAGGATTTAGACTTATTTTCAGACTAGTGTGGTAGGCAGCCAGTGCTGATCCACCAAGACAGCAAGTGAGAGGAAGCATATTTGTCTTATTTGAGTTGATCCGACTGCCTAATCCACAGAGGGGAAGGGTCCTACCCAGAGGCACTCAAAAGAATCCTTTCCAATGTACATGTGGCCTTAGTGAGGAACACCAAACCACAGCCACTGTTCTCATGGGGCACCTGAGAATAGATGAACACTGCTGTCAACCTATGACACAGTTCCAGTGGGGTAACTCAGGCCTTCCAAAGTCAGAATAAAAGTCTACTTCCCTGAACTGCTTTTGGAGTCTTGCTTCTCTAAGCCCACAGCAGGGAGCCAGGGACGGGGACTTCTCTTGACCTCCAGGACCTGGGCCCAGCCTTATCCCATGTCCTGGAACTGACAGCATATCCTTTCTCTTTCTATTCCTTTCCCCAGGCCATGATGCTCCTCCTTCTTTCCATGCTGGTCCTGCTTGCTCAGCCCCTGAGTTACCTGGGAGCAGAAATGAAGAACTACCTGCAGAGATCAATGGCCAGCACCTGTACCTTGGTCATGTGCAGCCCCCCGGAGAATGGCCTGCCTGGTCGCGATGGAAGGGATGGGAGAGAGGGGCCCCGGGGCGAGAAGGGGGATCCAGGTAGAGCTGGGACTGGTGGTTTATCTGGGTGGGGAAGGCTGAGCCTTGGAATGATAACAAACCTGCAAGTCTGGATATTTGCAATGGAAGACTTGGAGATGGGCTTCTCCCACCCTCCACCATGGAGGTGGGTTTCCACCAATGTTTGTTCTATCTAAAACAGTGTTTTACCAGTTGGCAAATGTCCTCTGTCCCACGCCCCCAAGTGCTTCCCACATCTCCCAAATGACCTGACTCTTCCCCTAGGACTCCTGGATTTCCCTTACCCATAAAATGAATACAGAGTGGGTAAATTATTGATATTTAGGGGAGCCCTAGGACCCTGTTCCAGGAGGTAGCAATAGTTCACTTTGGTTAAATGATACCTACCCAGGGTATTAAATACTTTTAATGTTTATTTAAACTATACTGTATGAAAGGTGACAAAAGATGAGGTTTCATGGCCCCATATAAAGATCTAATCAAATGGATTTGTCTTAAAACATTACAAGCAGAGAGCAGAAGCTCATATTTCTTCGTGGAGTCCTGTGCTTGGGTATTCACTTAACCCTTCCACAGCCTTACAAGGAACATGCTAGTTTCTCCTGACAGGTAAGACAACTGACTCAGAGAGGGTAAATAAAACCATTCTAGAGGGTTAAAAGGACATGGGCTTCTCATCAGACACATCTGTACTAGACTAGTAGCTCCAGGTCTGGGACTCCCTGGGACAAGCCACTTAGTGTCACAGAGTCTTAGTTTACTTATATGAAAAAGGGAATATTGTTTTCTGCCCAGTGACAAATAATTGAGCCAAACTTTTTACTATCATTATTTTTTGAGTCTTTAGGATGAAGTTGCATTTTCCTGCTATACTAATTAGGTAAATTCTCTTGAGGTTACCAAAGGTACTAAGAAATAGGAAATGGTCCCTGAAATACTGTCCCTGCCCTGGGGAAGGCTCTGGATCTTATTGGCAAGAAGGAAACATTCAACAAACTAGCAACATGAGCCAAGGGATCACGTGGTCCTAGGCCACAGCTTTGAGTATATTTCTGGAGTTTGCATTTTGGTTAGGGAGAAAGGAAAAGAGTGACACTTAAGTCAGAAAGACTAATATCCCTAGGCTTTGTAGGGTGAGGGGCAAGTGAGTACCAGCTTATCTTTTAGAGACAGAAAGTGGCTCCCAGTGTGAATGGGCTGGGGCATGGAGAGGGCTGTCCAGGGGTGAATTTGGAGGAGGAACCAACTCACTGTACAGCTCTCTCTCAGGGAGTCTCAATTCTCTTTGGCTCCTGTGGGACATTTCCTAGTAGTCCTTGAGCTTGCCACATGGACTATGACTGAGACCTTCCTTTCCTCTGCAGGTGCCTTGCCCCCTGCACAACCAAATGTGACTTTAGTCAGTTCTTAGAGAATAGCACTCAGTAGATGGAGACAGAGGCTCACTCTGGCTCCTCTATTCTACTCACTCAAGTTATTTGACCACATGGGTCTGTGAATGTCATGGGGAGTCCGAAGTACCCTCAGATGCTGTTCCATAGGTCTGTGTGGGGCCAAAGTCTGTACTGTGATATTCTGYTCCGCAAATTTTGAAGCATGTGGTCCCCAGAACTTCCTGAAAAGGACAACTGGTACCTGAGAGACRCTTGACCAGAGTAGAAGGTAGAGTTGTCGTCCTGGAGTGATTAGCACAGGGGCCTCGGATGCATTATAGAGAGCAAGAAAGACCAGACTTTGCCTGTGGGGGATGATTTCCTGTGCCTCAGCACCTCCCACACTCCTGCCCAGAAAGATTCAGGGAGAGTCTCTCCAGGGACACTCAACTTCCTCAGAGTAACCTYCCCCTTGCAGCATCCTGCAGGCCCTACATGACCTTCTCATCCCTGCTTGCTTCTCTGGTCTCAATGGCTTCTATTCTCACACCCACTGGCTCCAAGCACACGGGCTTTTTGCTGATCCCTAACCACACTCGGGCCYCTCTCTCCTCAGTTTCCTGTAGTTCGCTCTTCTCACTCTTCTCATGGATGTCCCTATGGCTCCTTCAAGGCCTTACACCTAATCCACATTCCCAGCAAGGAGGTCCTAAACACTCTGCTTAAAACAGATACCTGAACGACCAGCTTTATTTTGTTTCTGTGGCACTTATTACAATCTAATAAGCCATAGGTTGTACATTTTAATTTTTGATTGTCTGTTTCTATTCAGTAGATTCAAAAGTCCATGAGGAAGAGATTTTTTKGGGGGGAKGAGGTGGGATCTGTTTTGTTCACTACCATATTCCCAACATTTAGGACAGTGAACTTCAATAAATATTATTGAATTAGTAAATGAGTATAAAATGGAAGGGTAGGAGGAATTTTAATATTGCCAAGATTGACCAAATTGTTAGATCACGAAGCTCCACTTTATGTGGCACCAGGGCACAGAGCTAGGTCTTTGGGGACCCTAATGCAAAGGTAGTCCTTTAGAGGCATGGGTACTATTGTTGAGAAGGGTGCCCCTCCTCCACCTCAATGCTCTGTGGCCTCTGTGCACCAAGAACAGGTGGCCTCTAACACTCCATTCTAGAGATGACTTGCTTTCTTTAGCCCAATGTGCCTGCCACCAGCCTGGGTATGGTGGAGTTTAAGAGAAGCTGAGCCTGAGCTTGGGACATCTGTGTCCTCAGCCCAGTTCTCTGTGAAAGTGGGATATGGATCTGTCTTGTAACCTTCTATGCTTCCATTTCATTCCTTGAAAGGATAGTAATCAATAGCTGGAACAGAACCCAGCACAGAATCTTCCATTCATCTGGCAAATTTAGTCATCCTTATCCCAACCACACTCCTGACCCCAGAGGGCCTGGATTTTYCTGCCACAGGAGCAWATCTTCCAAGWCTRAAATGTCACWTCTCTTCTCTCTAAAYTGATTTTAAGAASATAGGCTCTCTAAACCCTTCCCACTCTTCAAGTCTCATTTTCTCCTCTAGAAAGATAGCTCCAAGGATGTGTGTAGGTGCTGGGGCAGGACACTGGGATGAGACGAGAGGCATCTCTTGCACTGTATTCCTCATCTGTTGTCCTGTCTCACAGTTCATTATAAATTTTATATCAGGGCCTGAGATTAATATTTGCATTTGGTCCAGTGGGAATTATAAAGTAGATGTGMATGGTTGAGTTCTTTTTCATTTTTATTAAAATGCATTAATTGTATATATTGTTGGGGTTCCGTRTGGTATTTCCACACATGCATGCAGCATGTGCAGATCAAATTCAGCTTCCCTTTATTTACTCTCTCCCTATCCCACCCCCACATTTCTCAATCTCTATTAATCACTTGTCTAGGTTCAGGTTTATGGTTTTTAGCTTCCGCATATGAAAGAGAATATGAAGGACTTGTGTTTTCTGTTTGGCTTATTTCACTTAACATCATGTCCTCCAGTTCCATCCATTTTGTTGTGAATGACAGGAYTCCATTCTTCATTACAGCTGAATAACATTGTATTGTGTCTGTGTACCGCATTCTCTTTAACCATTTATCTGTTGCACACCTAGGYTGATTGCATATCTCAGCTATTGTGAAGAGTGTCACAATAGGCCAGGATGCAGGCATCATCCCTTTGGTGTGCTGGCTTCATTTCCTTTGGATAGGTACCCAGGAGTGGGAGAGCTGGATCATAGGGTAGATTGATTTTTAGTTTAYTGAGGAACCTTCTTCTCCAGAAGGGACATACTAAGTTACATCGCCACAAATGGTGTATGAGTTCTTTTTTTCTCTACATTTATGCCAGCATTTATTACTTTTGTTTTTGTTGGGTTTTGCTTTTTTGATAATACTGAATCTAACTTGGATGAGATGGTATCTCATTGTAGTTTTCGACTTGCATTTCCCAATGGCTAAAGATATTAAGCATTTTGTTCCCTATATTGTGTGGCCATCTTTTCTTTTGAGCAGTGTCTATTTAGATCATTTGCCCAGTTTTAATTGGATTACTTATTTGGGGTTGTTAAGTTTTTTGAGTTACTTAAATATTTTTGAGTTACTAAATATTTTGAGTTACTTAAATGTTTTTTGAGTTACTTAAATAGTTAGCAAAAATTYTCTCCCATTCTTCTGCTTGCCTCATCACTCCATTCATTGTTTCCTTTGCTGTGCAGACCATTTTTAGTTTATGTAAGCACACAGGTCAAATTTTGCTTTTGTTTTCTATGTTTTGGGGGTTCCATATGAACAAATAAATGAGTAAGTGCACAAATAACTGAACAAATTATCCTCTATTTAGTATCATTTCTGATATAAATGTTGATCCCCCAACACACACACACACACACACACACACACACACACATATATGTATCACACACATACATATATATATCACATATATACACGTGTGTGTGTGTGTGTGTGTGTGTGTATGAGTGTGATCATAGGCAAATGCTGACAGGTTGCCTTCTGTTGATACTGAGATCTTAGGGCAGGAGAAGAAGCACTTAGCTTGAATTCACCTCTGACAAGTCTGTTTCTTCATAATGGGAATGTTAAGGTCCATTTCCTGGATCACCACTGGACCACTGTGTGTGACCATGAAATGTCCATGCTTTGCAAAACCCTGAAGGAATGCCAGGGATTTAACCCTCCTGGGCCTAAGGCTAACTTTATACTCATTTCTATTGCTGCTATAGGTTTGCCAGGAGCTATAGGGCAAAGGGGGCTCCCTGGACCAGCTGGCCCAATTGGACCAAAAGGGGACAATGGCTCTGCTGGAGAACCTGGACCCAAAGGAGATTCTGGGCCAAGTGGTAAGCAACTAGACATGGAATTCAGGCATCTTAAAAAAGGTGATTTTGCCAATAGGCTATACYAGTATGCATGCACAGATCCCAGACCAGGAAGAAGGTTGTTCTGAAGGTGGCATTGGCTTATTTCAGACTGGGCCTACTGTGGGGTTCCTCTTTGTCCTCTACTATTACTGTCACTTTATGCACTCCTTCTRTCAAGAGGATTTAGTGTCACTGACAGGATTGGTCCTTTTCTCCAGGACCCCCAGGACTTCAAGGTGTGCCTGGTCCAGCTGGAAAAGAAGGTCCTTCMGGGAAGCAGGGGAACATAGGACCACAAGGAAAACCAGGTCCAAAAGGAGAGGTGGGGCCCAAAGGTAGGTGAATGTGATATGGCCTGTCTGGGAGGGAGAAGGGAGAAATGATGATGGCGGACCATGATGTGACCTGAGGCATAACATGCCAGGAAGAGCCCAGACCATGAATACCATGAAGGCCTCACCATGCACATCTTTCCTCACCTTCCCCATATTAACAATAATTTCCTCTTACCCTCCACAGAAGAGCCCAGGTAACAGGTGCAGTCTCTCCAGTTCTCTTTCAGACCCTGGAGTTGTGGGTAAAAAGCTCTACTACTGAGGACATACATGCTGAACACACTCTCAGAAGCATTTGTCCCTGTTTGTTCCTTCCTCAGGAGAAGTAGGTGCCCCAGGCCCGCAGGGCTCTGCAGGAACCAGAGGTCCCACAGGCCCTAAAGGAGAGAAAGGTGCCCCTGGTGAGCGTGGAGCTCCTGGAAATGCTGGGGCAACAGGTGAGTGATGGAAAGATCTGGGCTGGATCCAATTATGTGGTGTCCATTTGGAGTTGGCAGTGGCAACCATGAAGTCTGGGCGGGTGTTGTTGAGAGTCTGTATCCAAGGAGGGTGCACTTTTCATCTCTGGGAACTGACCATATATAGGGAGAGTGCAGTGCTAAGCCTTGAGATGGTTCTGTATCCACAAAAGGTTAGTTGTTGGTGACGGGGGCAGTTGTACACAGAGAAGGTTGAATGTTGTGTGATGGGAATAGTTGTACACAGAGAGGGCACACGACTGGGTTCTGAGAAGAGCGTGTATGCCGGAAGAGTGTGTAGCTGGGAAATGAGGGCATGTCATGTACTGAACAGGTGAAAATGCTATAAATAGAGTCCATAGCTCACCCAGCCCTTCTCGGATTCCAGGGCCTGCTGGAGCTGTGGGTCCACAGGGAACCCCAGGAGCCAGGGGCCCTCCTGGACTGAAGGGGGACAGAGGTGCTCCTGGAGGCAGAGGAGAAAAGGGTGAAAGTGGGGTATCAGGTAAGGCAGCAGCTCCTGACTCTGGAACCCCCACCAGGGCATGGGACGGAAAAGTGTAGCCTTCTTCTGCTCAGGTTGGCCTCTTCTCTGGGATGACAGCCCCATTGTTTACAGGTGGTGGGTGCAACTAGGGAAAGGCTGGCAGGCAGAATTAGGTCTTAGCTGTCTAATATATGTGGGAAGGTTGACCTGAGCAGTTTCTCCACCAGACCACTGGGAAAATGACAGCTGTCTTTCCCATTCACCAGATAGCTTTGAGCATTAAATAATCCAATGGATGGAAATTATATAAGGAATRTATTCCCACTCACCCCACCCTCAAAAAATGGATATGTGATTAAATTCCCATAAGAAAGCCTCATACAGCAGGGTCCAGTAGGGTCAGCAGGTGTYGGCTGCTAGGCATCCGTCACCTCCATCCCCAATATGTAGCTACAACTCCATACCCTTCCGTGAGGCCTGGGCTCTGAGCTCTTCCTAGGATGTGCTGGACAAGTCTTCACATGGCCATTTTTCTCCCCTGCAGACATCACTGCCATGAGGCAGCAAGTGAAGGACTTACAGGGACAGCTACAGCACCTTCAGACTGTCTTCTCTCAGTATAAGAAAGGTGAATTTCTGGATTTGAACCTCAGCCTCATACCAATATTGGGCCCCATACTGGTTCTGGCATGGGTTTAGGGTTGAGGTGGGACTGACACTGAGCCTTACCCAGTGAGGGACTATGTCTAAGGCTGGGCTTGGGACTGGGCATAAAGCTGGGGCTGGGGAGGGAAGCCATGTGTTCCACAACCTAGAAGTCCTTCCAAGGAACAAGGAGGAGGATTTAGTAGTCTATATCACCAGTTCACTGGGCTGGCAGATGCATATCTGAAACCACCAGGCTCCAGAGCACCCTTCAACCTCAGGGCCATCCATGCCCCAAGGCAGATGTCTCAAGTGCAGGGCAATTTAATTGACCTTCCTTCCTGTCTGACTGAGTTAGTCCCTGTGACAAACACATTGCATTACTTACCTCTGTGAAGCCAGGCGTGGGAGTGCTCAGAGATGTTGCTGCACAGTCCAAGGCAGCACAGAATGCAGTTGCTGTCCTGAGGGTTGGGGCTGGATTATACTTTGGAGGTACAAGGCAGGTGAGGGACTGACTTTGATGACTGGTCATTAAGAATCTTTCCTTACTCATGCTCCTGGGTCAAGCAGGGGGCAGGCTGCCTTGGGGTTCCAGCCAATGCTGGGCTCTACCTGCAATCCCTGATGTGTATAGAGCAGATTCCACCTTAACTGTGCAATCCTGTGGTGTCAAAGCCCCCCAAGAGCTCACACCTGAGAGCTCTGTGCCTTTTAGAATCTCTACCTCAGTTCCCAGCTGCCCCTTCCTCCTCTGTCCTCTGTGACTTCAGTTTTGAGTCCACACCCTTTAGTTAAATCTCACTGAGTTAGAAAAAGAAGTTTTCTGAATAAGTAGAGCATAAAGGGTTTTGTTTGGGTAAGACATGGAGTTGGCTCCTAAGCACCCAGGCTGAGGTGAGAGTTTTAAGCATTTGTACTTTTCCTTCTCTCCATAAACATACTTATACATGTACTCATTTGCTCATAATCACACTGATGAAAACATGAAGAACATGTGCACATGCACCTGCCACCTATGTGTATACTTAAATATCATCATTCATTCCACATCCATCTACATACACAAGCTCATATGCACAACCAACTGGCTAGACCTAACACATGTCCACATATTTTTGGATGAACTCATGGGCATATTCGTGTAGCACATGCATACTGCCCTGGGACCACGGAACTTACACTCAGTAATGGCACATAATCTTACACTGACCTTGTTCAGGGCTGCTCTGGRTGCCATCCTGAGTCTGTAGACAATCTTCCCTGCAAGACCTTGTTAAAAATGCCCAGAGGAAAACAGTGATCCAGGATGCAGCCTGGATTCTGACCATCCCAACAATTCCAAGGATGCAGCCCATTCTGGAGCCCAGTGTCCTTTGCCAGATTTCCACACATGGGTCCAGAAGCCACAGGGATGAGAATATAAAAAAAGATACTCGACATGTTACACAGATGGTACTTTTCTGAAGTGATCCCTCACTTTAGAGGAGAAGAAATGCATATTCTGAAAGGGAAAGTGACTTTGTCTTGTCCCCAAGACAGTCATTGCCAGGTTGGGTCTTAAGGTCAGATATAATTTCTTTCCAAGCCTCTCTCCAGCATTAATTTTACAAAAGTCCTCCTCTCAGATGCCCTTGTCCCCTTCCCCAGCACCTGACAGGCTGGGGCATCTTCCACTGAGAAGCCAACATGGGATTGACCAAGGGCAGAGATCAGCGCATTTAGCTCTCAGATGTCCCACCCTACCCTGTACTGTCCCCTTATCCCTCACACAACTCAAACAATCCATCATAACAACAGTGGTGACAGTGGGCTCACGGCATTGTTTTCTGTATTCTCAGAAATGGACTCAGATTACACAGTAATCGTTTCCCAGATCAAGTTGTCCAGTTCTCCATAGTAATTAAAAATCAATGCCAGCACACAACCGAAAGGGCAGAGCTAAAACAGAAAGGGCAGGCCTGAGCTTTGGTGTCGGATTTCGTGAGGTTTTATCCCTAAGTAGGATGGTTGCATGGCTCTTAATTGCTCTGAACTCCAGCTCTGTCATCTGTGAACTAGGGACCATGGTACCAGTTTGCAGTGTGCATTATGGGGATGGGGCTTCTCCAGAACCAAGTGTCTCACTCACATTCCCTCTGGTGCCCTGAGGCCCTGCCTGGGAAGGTCTGGAAGGCTTGGGCTGCAGCACAGAGATCTCAGAGCCCCTGCACTTTGGCCAGGAGTACCTCATCTCAACCTGATTTCCCTCTTCTCCCAGCTGTGCTCTTCCCGGATGGCCAAAGTGTTGGGGACAAGATCTTCAAAACAGCTGGCTTTGAAAAAACTTTTGAGGGTGCGCAGGAGGTGTGCACCCAGGCCAGTGGACAGCTGGCCTCCCCTCGCTCTGCAGCTGAGAATGAGGCTTTGCAACAGCTGGTCACAGCTCAGAACAAGTCTGCTTTCTTGAGCATGACAGACACCAAGACGGAGGGCAAGTTCATCTACCCCACTGGGGAGGCCCTGGTCTACTCCAACTGGGCCCCAGGGGAGCCCAACAACAATGGTGGGGCAGAGAACTGTGTGGAGATCTTCGCCAACGGCAAGTGGAATGACAAACATTGTGGAGAACAGGGACTTGTGATCTGCGAGTTCTGAGCCCCTGTGGCAGGGGTTGGGGAGGGAAGAGTAGCCATGCTTGGCCCAGAAGCCTGGCAAGTGAGTTACAGCCCGAACTTATGTGTTGCCAATACCCTAATAAAAAGGTAACCACCTGTAACAGCCAAGGCTTCTCTCCAGGACACAGCCAGAGGTAGCTATATTGCAGATCACCTCACACACGGAAGGCCTATCCAGAAGAAAGGGACAGCCTGCTCTCCCAGTTGCAAGGGATAAAAGTCAGCCTGCAATGACAATGATGTCACTGTTACAAAGTCTAAAATCTCCTTCTCAGTTCTCCTCCTCATTGAATGATTAGCTCTCCCTCTTCTTCTTCCAAATTCTTCCTTCTCTCAGCTTACAGATCAACACCTTGCCTGTGTTGACTCTTTTTGAAGGTTGGGGGGTGCCAGAGATTGAACTCAAGGACACTCAACCACATCCCCAGCCCCAGGAACACTCGACTGAGCCACATCCCCAGCCCTATTTTGTATTTTATTTAGAGACAGGGTCTCACTGAGTTGCTTAGCACCTCACTGTTGCTGAGGCTGGCTTTGAACTTTTGATCCTCCTGCCTCAGCCTCCCAAGCCACTGGGACTAAAGGTGTCTGCCACTATGACTGGCTCTGTGTTTACTCTTAAATTTCTTTTTTTCAAAAATATTTTGGGTACTGAAAATTGAACCCAGGGGTACTTTATCACTGAGCTTCCTCCCAAAGCCTTTTCATTTGTTTAATGTTAGTGGTGCTGGGGAATCAAACCCAGGAGCTCTACCACTAGCTGTATTCTAGCCCTTGCCTGTGTTTACTCTTGTCCTTTGCTCCTGATCAGCCTCTTGCTCATCCCTGTTGCTTTTCTCCTTGACACATGATGGAAGCATACTTGAGTCTCAGTTCTCTTCTCTCCTTACACTCACTCCATGGGTTAAGCATTCTGTGCCCGTGTCTTAAATTCCATCTACAGGCTATGGATCCCAGGTATATGTCCTCTTCAGGACCACTTCCAGACCACAAACTCCTCTAGCCACTGCAGGCTAGAGTCTCTGAGCTGGAAGTCTCTATAGCTGACTCTGGCTTTAAGCCTAAACCCAGGAAGCTACATAGCTAGGCAGAGTGACCTGGTCCAGAAGTCTGCCTACCCTCCACCCTGCCCCAGTCATTTCGTGGTCCCACAACCAGTACTCCTCCTCCCATGCTACCCAGCATCTGTCAATGGAGCTGCACCCTGACTCAGGGGAGGAATGCCAAGTGCACAACCCTAAAGCCATCTGAAATCTCAGGGAACTTTGGAGCAGAGGGTCATCGGTCATGCTCAAATTCACCCCAACACTTCTCTTGCCTGGAAGTTTCTGGTAGTTTCAGGAATTTTCTTTCCCTACTCTGTCGCAAAGACAATCTAATTAAATCTTCCCCATTTTCCAAATATGAAAACAAAGGCACAGAGAGGTGAAGGGACTTGCTCAGAGTCATGGGGGTAGAAGGATTAGAGCTCAGTCATGAACAAGGTCTTTCTGATCCCAAAGCTTATACTTTGGGCCTCTAAATATATAAACCAAAGACTCCCATATACTGGCTGATTTTATTGATACACTCTCACAAAATTATTTATTTATTCATTTTTATTCTTTTTAGATATACATGACAGTAGAGTATATTTTGACATATTATACATATGTGGAGCATAATTTATTCTAATTAGGATCCCATTCTGTGGTTAGCAGAATGAATCAGATGTAACTACTCTATGTTCAACGATGAAGACACCACCAGTGAAACTCCACATCACGCACAAACCACAAAAAAATATTTAAATGATACTTGTGTTCAAGAAATGGGAATGGGGGCTGGGGATAGAACTCAGTTGGTAGAGTGCTTGTCTTGCATGCATGAAGCCTTGGGTTCTAATCCCCAGCACAACATAAAAAAAAAAAAAAAATCTGCCCCTGGCACAGACTCAGCAACACATTGAAGGCAATAAATGAAGAAAAAAATTTCAGAATTCTAAAACTAAATAAAAACGCTTAAGGAAAATAAAAGAAATGGGAATGGCACCTGGGTGAATCACAGGCCCATAATAAAAGGCCCATGTATAAACCCCTCCTCCCCCAGACATGAAATCAGATGAAATGCTCTCCTTTGTTCACAGGCACTAGGGGGGTTGCCCTTTCTGGATGGGGCCCCCAAACCCCAAACCTCTTCCCAGAACTCCTGCAGCTACACCTCATGTATAGATAGGGTAGCATGTCCAAAAGCAAAAGCCACATTTTCAGACAGTTCGCAGCSGGGGCTCTGAGATAAGATCTTTCTTCTGTTATTAAAAAAAAAAAAAAATCCCCAATTGCCTGCACCTTTTAAAGTACAAGTCAGTTACACAATAATTAGCAAACAATTCCCCCCTACAAAGGCCACACCTGGGCACACTGATAGCGGGAGCTTAGAAAGGCCCTTTTTATTGTAAGAGGAAACAACTGAATTTAAGACAAGAAGAAGTTTTTGTTGTTGTTGTTGTTGTTTTTTAACGAATAGTTGGCCCTGAATGGGTTAAAAAGGACTGGGGGCAGGAGGAGAGGTGCACAGGCAAAGTCTTGCCACCTCCCTGTCCTTTGCCTTTCTCTCTGTTTTTGCCTCTTGTTCCTTGCACACTGGGCTCCTCTGCTTCGTGGTTTCCCCACTGCACGAGGACAGGGATTGTGCTCAGAGACTGCTGCACAGGCATGAGACACTCTCATCTGCTTTCAGTTTAAACTGCTGTAGAAATCAGTCTGGTTGTCTCAGGTTCTCTCCCCTGGCTCAGTTGACTAAGCTTTGGGAAGTGGGATGACCTAGCACACTATGGCCACTGAAACCTATTCAAGGTCATGGTGGTCTTGGTACCTCACTGCCCACCCCAATATTCATGCCAGACCTATTTCTTGACAAGGGGGAGGAAAGAGGAGCAGAACTGTGTGGACAGAAAACTAACCCCGAGAGAAACCTTCAARTCCACGGGACCCACCAGCATGAGTGCCTGGTTTGTCTTTGAGCACAGAAGACTTRTAAGGAGGGTCATTTGGATTCTATATGAACAATCTGATTAAGGAGGACTGAAGCAAATAGTTCAGAAGTCCAAGCTTTCCTTAAGCCCTTGAGCACAGAGGGTCTCTTGTGCTAATATACATGAGCAACTTTCAGCTCAAATCTTAAACTGTGCCTACATTCTCAACCATAGTGGCCTAGGCGGCAAGTGAAACCAGGACTATGTGCTCTTAGGCTCTCAGGAAATTTTTGTCTCTCACAATGCCAGGGGCCATCATGGGAGTGACTTGAAGCCACCCCTGTATAGAAGGGTGGTCTTCCCTGTAGTACATTGGGAAGCCCCTTTCCTGTAGTACATTGGGAAACCCAGTTTAGTGATATACTTGCAAGTCTCCATCTTGTTCTTAACCCTCCGGTTACCAAACCAGCCCACATCCCATAATGACCAGCCAGTGGCAAGCTCTYTGATGTCTGCTTTTCTAGGACCCTGTTTTTGTTCTGTATACCCTTGATACACAACATTGACAACTGAGTTGCTTATGGTCAGAGCATTCTCACAAGTTTAATGATTGCTTGACCATCTCAAGTTACCTATGTTTTATATACTAGAGAAAAAAAACTAGGTGTCTATTAGAGAAAATAAAATGTTAATTGAGTTTTCAAATATTTTTTCCAGGCATTGGATATAAAAATGGAAATGGCTAGTCAGACTCTCATGGATCCTATAGCCCTGAACTTCCCTAACATCACAGAGAATTAATTGGTGAAAGTGTGTTCCAGCAGTGAATGATAAGGTGCTCAGCAAACAGATTTAGAACAAATGGATGGATATTAAGAGACCTTAACAAAGGACACATAGGAAAGTCATCTTCTTGTGTAATCACTAAGCTACTCAGAGACCAAAATATTCTATTACTGTCTGTTCTAATTATCTGTAACTATTAAGCCTTTCTGTGACTAACAGCAGGAATCTTATGATAGGTTTCACTCTAATATTTGACTGAAAGGCCTTGGGTAGACAGGCATGAACTTGTGATGCCTGGAAAGTCAGATAAGACCAGTGCACATGTCATAATGCCCTCTCTTCTATGGCCATGCTAAGTGTGGAGGATTGATTGATGTAAAGTGATACTGCAACCAAACATTCTGGAACCCAGCCACCCCTGGGCATCAGCTGGGTCCACCTGGACTTTTTTTGTTGCTGTTGTTTTAATTAGTTATACATAATAGTAGAATGAATTTCAATTCATTGTTCCACTTGGACTTTGAAATTTGAGGGTTCTTAATGGATGCATTTCAAACGGTAACATGTTTGGCCACTATTTGCTTGAGAGACTGTAGGCTCCCCAGGACTACCTGGTTGAACCATTTCTGTGCCACAAAGAGGAACTTACAGAGGCTCTGACTGTGCAAAATGGTGCATTGTATATTTAGCAAGTAGAATGGATGTAGTGCTGAGAAAGTCCAGAGAAAGAGACCCTTAATTCCTACTTGAAAGTCTTATTTGCAGGGCTGAATAAAGTGTTTTTAAGATGTCATTAGGCCCTTTGATCTGCGGTAAGAGCACACTGACCTCACTGCCAGCCCTTTTGAGTATTTATTTTTTCATTCCCCTAATCCTTCATTTCAGGCGCAAGTGGCTGGCACTTAGTCCAGGGCCCACAGGTTGGATGGCAACTTTAGGACAAGTAAATACACTCTGTGACCAGAGGGACTGTTCTGTGCAGAAAGAAAAGGAGACTAAGAGGTGGGTCCTGAGCAAGCCTGGGATACTTGGTCTCCAGCTAGTGAGAGCCTGAGAGAACAGAAAGGGGATGAGGATGAGAGGGGAGTGAATTTCTCTGTGAATCTAGCAACCTAGTATCCCTCTGAGTGTTCTTCTTAAAAAAAAAAAAAAAAAAAAAAAAAAAAAAAAAAAGTATGTGCATGTGTGCATGTGGGGGTATGTGAAAAAGAACATTAGGACAGAACACTGAAGTCTCAGGCTCTCTCCATAAGCAAATTTTATTGACAAGGAAGGCCTGCCAGAGTGCCCAGTCAAATGGTGCAGCCCCTAGAGTTATTTGAAT